CAGTTCAACCTACCTCACAGTGTTGTTGTTGCAGGGAGGAGGAAATGGAAGAGGAAGGAGGAAATGCTACATACACCATCTTGAGCTGCCAGAACAAAAGGTGATATATAAATCTAACAAATAAATAAACACATATCATTTGGAGCAAAACGTTCCAGACTGAGGTGCAGGGTCAGTTCTTTCAAACTTTTATCCCCCTGATTAAATCTGTTATATATTACAGGGCAGTTAGCCTTACACTCTTATTCATTTGCACAGGTGTATTTGGGCAGGAGTGAATCAGGTTTCAATAGGATCAATCTATTTGCTGGTGCAGAATTTAGGGGTGCAGCATGTAGTAGAAAAGCTATTCTTCATTTCTTTCAAATGGATTTACCTGACCATAGTTCCAACTCCTCGATCTTATATTTTCAGGGTCCCCATAGAAAATAACCCCAAGGTCATTCAGGACATACTCTTCTCTTGCTTTTTCTTCATCCAGAAACACTGCATCCTCTGCATCAGATTTTTGTTTATAAAAACAGATTAATACATGTACTTTGCTGAGAGTAGATGTCAGAATTTAATACAGCTGAATAATACGATAAGAAAAGGCAGCCTTTTGTTCATCTATCATAGCACAGAATATCTTTTCTCCCCACACAATTTTCTGCAACAGGAAATGAAGCATGCTCCAAATTAAAAAGAAAAAAGAAAAAAGAAGGATCACAACTCTTAACTATTTTGAGCAAGATCTGTAAAGCATGATTAAATTGTCACCTCTTATCAAGCATTTTATGATTCTGCGTTGTTAAGCTGAAATGTCTAAGAGCTGTGATGGCATTAGGCACCCACACAGCAGATCAAAGAATTACTCTGAAACTTCTTAATTGTAAGAGTGAGCAATTCTACACCAAAAGATTTAAAGGCATAATCTGTGCAGGAAGAGCTGCACATTGTGACAAGCATGAACATGGTCCCTTTTTATACGGAATATAGACTTTTACATAGCCACTTGGCTCATATGACTGAGAGACAAGAAAGAACATTTTATGATAGACAGCTCTTTCTGGTTTAGGCTGGAGATGCTGGAGAATCCCACTTGACCTGCATTTTTAATAAATTGACTCAGTTCACATTTCCTAAATTATATCTTTGGATTTTGCAGGGAAGATCTCTGCATATGTAAAACAATGAGAGTCTTTCAAAGAATGGCAGAATACAAGTATAAATAAAAATATATTGGGGATGCAATACATGGTGTATGGAAATTCCAGCACAGTCCTGAGGAAGCTGTCAATTGCAGCCAGTACATCACAGTAGTAAAGGAAGATGTTAAACCTTCCCTCCACACATGTTCCCTCTATCTTCGTTTTCTTTTTAATTGAAAGGTCTAGATGTAATGAATTTGGAATCATAATCTGTTTGCTCTTGTCATGGGGATGACACAATAAAACCAGGACACTGTAGTCTCTCTCTCTCATTCTCTCTCTCTCATTAATTTTATTATATTTACTTGAAAGGAAGATCAGAATCTCCCCATAACGTCAATTTCAATACGAAGAATGGAGGCACCCCTAGGGTGGGAAAAATATCTTATATAAGATATTTGAAAAATATCATATAAAAATCAGATTGTGGTGTTATCTTCCTTTTAGGTAATATTCTATGTATATTTCCATATTTATCTATTTTTATGCAAATTTATTCCACTTGGTATCCTCTAACATTTTGGACTTCAACTCCCATGAACTCTAACCAACATGTTCAGTGGCAAGGGATTGGGGAATGGTAATCTAAAACATCTGGAAGTCATCAGGGTGCCTACCTCCAAGCTACACAGGATTATGGTAACACAAGCAGGATGATGAACATAAAGATGCTGTACAATGGGACAAACTATCTGGACTTCTCAATTGCATCTCTTTAGAAAGTCAGTTTAAGTTCTCTTTGAATAAATTACAAAAACATCAGTTGCACTTAAGATGTGGTTGTTACTATCACGATCATGTATACATTGTACATGCCTTACCTGTACACCAGGGATTGAACAATATGTAAGTATCAGTGTCTGGGTTTCGTCTTGTTCTGAGAATGCCCATTGGAGTCAATACTGCAACATACATGCGGAATTTTCCCACAATGCAGTTTGCAGCTGGCATAATATTCAAGGCCACAGAATTGTTGGCCCTGTGGGTGATCTTAGCACCCCATTTCCCACTTTCCAGCTCTTGAACCAAAGGAACTGGGATGTAGGTGCCTTTGTTTTGTTGTGGATATCGTCCTGCAGAAATAGGGAAGAGAGGGAATTAACTTTGTGAATGAGTGTAGCAAGTGAAAAGCTGCCTTCCATTTTGACTACCTAGCAAAATCTGGATTCACAATTACTGTGTTCTGCTAAGAATTCTATGACTTCTTCCCCAACATATCTGAAGGACACAAGTTGGGCAAGACTGACACAGAATAAGACATTGAGTTTGACTGGTAATATGGAGAAGCATTTTATTTTGACAGAATGCTGATAAAAGAACCCAGGAAATAGAGATCACAAAAATGCAATCTGTATTTTGGTGACTTAACCCAGGAATAAGATGTAGTGAGATATACCAAAGAAACAACCCAAAAGAGAGGCCAGATAGAGTTAAGAATGGAATCTAAATGTTGAATGCACGCTTATTTTTATTAAAACTGAACTTTCTTCTCCCTAATGCTGGATTTCACGTGTGGTTTAGCAAAATGGCAAACCAGACCTAGAAATAAAACGAGAAAGAAAAGAAAAGAAAAGAAAAGAAAAGAAAAGAAAAGAAAAGAAAAGAAAAGAAAAGAAAAGAAAAGAAAAGAAAAGGCAACATAGGGGTCAAGCTCCACATAGCTAGGCAACTCAAGAAGTGAAACCACATCTCTTTATATTTTTAATGTTAGTCAGGCATAAAAGCATAATCTTGAAAACTGTAAAAGCAAGTTCCCAAGCAGGCTTAAATCAAACCAATTAAGATTTAATCAGTTTAATTTAATGTTAATTAATTAATTAAATTATTTAAACCAATTAAGATTAAGATTAAGTGGGGTCCCGAAGATGGACCTTCTCGGCTGTGGCCCCCGCCCTTCGGAATATCCTGCCCCCGGAGTTGAGATTGGTCCCCTCACTCCTGGCCTTCCAGAGGGATTTGAAGACCTGGCTCTGCCACTTGGCCTGGGGGGAGGAGGGGAGACATCAAGGGTGGGGATGGCTGGTCCCTTAGATGCCTTTCATCTCCAGCCCGGGAAACCATCAGCCTCTTGGACCTTTTCTGCTTGGTAATGTTTAGTACAGTTTTTATGTCTTTTGTAATTTTATATGTATTTATTA